TTCACCTTCTCTAGGCCTTCTTAAACCAGGGTGCAACATTTCTTTCATCTCTTCCTGAGTTGCCAGCCACGCTGTGTGGATTTCATTCACTAGTGCCATACCTTACAATGAAATTTTCACCTTCTTTTTCTCTTCCAGCTTTGGCTTTGAAATTAGTCATCACAAATGTATATGTGGATTTTTGAGCAAGGGTTTCCTTGAGCTTCTGATTGAATTCTTCTGCATCATCCTGTTCTCTTGCCCTTGTTGCAGCACATATTTGAATAATCTTGAATGCTGTTCTTGTTCAGTTGGAGGTGTAGTATTCCAATACGCAATGGCTTGAACTTGCAAGAGATGAATTTTGAAGATCATTCGTTGTTGATTCCCCCAATGGTTCTTGTGCCTTCTCATTTTCTCACCACGATAGTGTCTTCTTCTCCTTTCTTCTTCATGTTTTACAGAGACCAAGGATGTCACAGGCTGTTCTTGCCCTCTCCTCCTTTAGATGGCAGAGCTAGAAACAGGGAGCTAAATTTTCTGGTGATAAGATACCCCAGCAGAGAATATAGCCCAAGAGGTATATGCCAACGGCAAGGGGAGATTCATAGCCCTCAGCAGAGAGGTCAAGAGATCAGATTTTTAATTCATGACATGTTTAGATATACAAGAGGTTCTCATGGCTTCTGCTGAGCCAGGTATATTTGGACTGCAATCTGTTACACTTTGGTTCTGTGATGTGATGGGAGCCTCAAGGGTTAAAGCCGACTACCCAGTGAAAACTACTGGATGATGGTGAAACAAATTATTTTTATTAAGTGGAATGATTTTTTTTTAAATCAAAACTAACAATTAGCAAATGTTTTTTTTAAAACTAGCAATTGCCCAATGCTTTTACAGGGTAGAAAACCCTAAACGTAACTGTACTTAACTAATTACAAACTTCTTTGATTGCAATTCAACTATACCAAATCACTGTCTTTAATTTGCTTAACAAAAATACAAAAACAAAGACAATATAATGATAATAAAAACTCTATCTTGACATTCAGGCAAATTGGAGTTGAGAATAAATGGTCATACCAAAAATCAAACCACATTCAGTTGTTTCCAGTCCCAACAAACCAGTCAGTCACTAAGCCCAAATCAGTTGGTACTTTAGATCTTACTCCAAAGACATCTTCTTATACCCAATTCTGTAATAAAGCTAAAATGTATTGTCTAGGAAAAAGAAATAAACTTTTGACGGGTTAAATGAAGCAAACATATGCACAACTGAGCTACAAGCTAAATCCTAGGAGTGACTGAGTTGTGCTTTGGCAAGTCAAAGTGTCTTATGCAGCAGATGCAGGAGGCGATCTCATATTCACAGGATCTCTGTGTTCAAAGTGATGGCTCTTATCCTGGGTGAATTCAGACAGTGAAAAAATGGAATATTTTCCTATGAATTTGGTTTTTTTCTTCATTCAGCTTGCAAGTCACCAGGACAAGCTTCCTGGCAGGTAGCATTTCCAAGGTAGGATAGGCCAATTAATCAGTCCTTTGTATTGCAATGTTCCTTGATGGCCCAACTGATCCAAGGAGGGTTCCCATGCTTGAATTTATAAGTTCAGAGCAAATGTTTTCAAAGTTATAAAGCAAAAAACCATATTCTCTTATAGCATGGAATAGCAACACTGTAAGTGAGGTTAATGCATGCAGCAACATACAAGCATTTCCTGGAGCATCTAACACTCAAGACATTCTTAGAAGACACAAACCTATTTTGAGCAAAACGAACATAGATGAACGGGTCTGGTGTCTAGCTATGTGTTTCATTTCTTAGCTAATGACTGCTGCCTGAGCTAGAGCTAACATCTAGCCTGACGGTGTCACATGATGGACTTCCAAATAGACAGGCATGTACTGCTTGTGCATACTTCCCTGATCCACACAAGCGAGTACTTTGTTATCCTCTGTCCCGCGCATTTCTTCTCCATAAAGGGGAGTGACCTGATGATGTTCTCTTCTGAGAGGCCACTCACCCCTTTTCTACTGTTTGGTTCACATGAAGGTGTTGGAATTATTTATGCAGGATATTTCTATGATGGGTTGAGTGACAGTGATCCCCTTGAGACTGTTACTTGATGGGGTGATCAAACCAGTGTGCCTGCCTGCCCTTTCGGGTGCCCCACTACCCTGCCCTACTGAGCCAGAAGCTCTGATCTCCCCTAATAAGGCACAAAAGCACCCTGATGCTCCAATGGGATCAGAATCCCAGATGAATCTGTCTTACTCTGTATAAAAGGATTTCATAGAGAAAACTCCTACAGTTTACCCCCTTTATTAATGAGAGAGATGCGCCGCTGTTGTTCCCCTCCAGGTAACAAGTATTTACACTGGGTTTGATAATAAAACTAAAGTGATTTAAGTGGTTGCAAGTGATAAGACAGATCAAAATAAGTAAATGAGCTAAAATAAAACATGCCATCTAAGCTTAATATGCTACAAAACTTGTTACATGCAATTTCTTACCCTAATAGTAGTTTTAATTATCTTTTCTCACAAGCTAGGCAGCCTCTTAGCATGGGCTCAATCCTTTCCCCTGTTCAGTCTCAGATATTTCCAGTAGGCATCTTGGTGGTAAGCGGGGGCTGTTCTTCAACTGCCACTTCTCCCTTTGATTGGTTCCCTGCCTATTAATAGGTTTTGCCCAAGGCAGCAATCCTTTGTGTTTGGTTTCCACCTTTTCACACCGCCATGGAAAAGTATCAAATTCAAAATGGTTTCCAGCATCTGGTGACCTGGCATATGTCTTGACAGGACCAATCCTACAGGAAAAACAAGACTATTTAGAGATCATTGTCTTGAACACTGGGCCATTAAGTTCCTTAAGTACCACTAATGGCTTTCACTAGAACAGTGTTTCTCAACTGGTGGTACTGTTGGGGTACTCGAGAGAAGTCTGGGGGATACATCAACACAACTGAAATTTGGAGAGATGTGAATTTTTGTTTTAAGATTTTACAGCGCTTTATTATTTTTGTACTTTTTATGCCCAAAAATTGTATTGTCCACCTGGCTACAATTAAGTTGTTTAAACAAGTGTGTTGCGATGGTAGAAAAAAATTGTGTGTGTCTGAAAACTGTAGGCACTGGGGGTATTTATAATTTTTTTAAAGGGGGTATTTTATTAAAAAAAAAAGGTTGAGAAACACTGCACTAGAAGACCAAGATTAATAAACAGCTTTATACTTCATATATCTAACTATATACAAGAATAATACATACACACAAATAGAATGTACACATTCAGTGAATTGCAAGCTTTTCAATGAGAGGTTATATGCCATCTTTTGCATAAAGCAGATTTGAGTTAAGCATATTCATACTCAAAACCACATTTCCATAAAAATAGGGGGGTGCAGCAACACAATTATCAGAACAGTAACCATAAATTCCTTTATTACAGCTATTGGCTTTTGGATTTAAACATGTCTATAAAGCCTTAATGACAAGCTATTTACTACATCCAAATAGTAACAAGACATAAGCATTTGATCAAGATAGCTAGAAATGTGCTAGACCACTGGGGGTGTAAATCCATATTGGTCATCTCCCTTGTGGTAATTCAAGTATTAGCCATGATTTCTTTAACAAACAAGTGATATCCTTTCCAATTACTGACTTCAAACCAATATGAGACAGGTTACCCTTTTTTTTAGTTTTAATCCAGATAAGATTTACAACCTCCTTTCTCCCCAAAGCCTTCCCTCCCTTGTAGGGATATTAAAATTAGATTAATCAACTAATCTGATTAGTCATTAAGGGCACTTCCGCTTCGAAATGTAGCAAGAGCCCACCAGGGTGTTGCTACATTTCAAAGGCATAAGTGCTGCATGGCTGCTCGCCTTTGAAATATGCAAGAACACCAGCAGGGGCTCTTGCGCATTTCAAAGATTGAAATGCTGTGTGGAGTCCGGGACCAACACGGGATTCCCTGAGTCCCTGCTGGCTCCAGGCTCCTCGCAGTGCTTCCACCTTTGAAATGTACAAGAGTCCCTGCTGGGGCTCTTGTACATTTCAAAGCAGAATGCTGCTGCTGCGCCCCTCCCCCTCCCATGGAGCTGGAGCTAGAGAGAACCGGCTTTTAAGCCAGCTCCCCGCAGGTTCCCCTTCCTTCCTGCCTCCCCTTGCTGCTTCTTTCTGATAGAGGCAGCAAGAGGGGGAAAGGGAATAGTTGATTAGTCACTTACATCCCTGCTCTCTCTGTCTCTGTTTCCTTCCTCCTTGTTGACCAACAGTTATTCCTTTGCACCCGGGTTCATATAGGCCCTAATTTTTTAGATAACTCTGGTATGGGCATGGGGAAGAGAAGGGTCATGTTGGCTCCTTTTGAAGATGGATACTGCCTTATGCAGTCACTCATATTAGTTTCAAGTATCAGAGGGGTAGCAGTGTTAGTCTGAATCTGCAAAAGCGACGAGGAGTCCTGTGGCACCTTATAGACTAACTGAGGTGTAGGAGCATAAGCTTTCGTGGGCAAAGACCCACTTCGTCATATTAGTTTGATGCCTCCTTTTTAGAAGCTTCCCCTTAGTTTCTTAGGGTATGTCTACACTAGCCCCCTAGTTCGAACTACCTATTATTCCTCCTGGAATGAGGTTTAACAGGTAGTTGAACTAGGGCTTTAATTTGAACTACTGGGTCCCTGCCGCATGTAGACACGGGCAGTTAGTCCAGACTTGTGAATTTCAAAAAATGGCGACTGGCCGAGAAGATGCAAATCAAGCGTGGGATATTTAAATTCCAGGCTTGATTTGCAACTTTGAATGCCTACATTAGCCTCCCTAGTTTGAACTAGGGGGCTAGTGTAGACATACCCTTAGTTTATTTGAATCGGACAGTGTCCCCCCTTCATTCTTCTGTCCTTATAATTCACTTCTTGAAAGGCTTTCTTTTACTGTCTAGTTTGGGTCTTTATAGCATGTTTCTATAGCCACACTTAAGCTCATTTTAATTTTCTAATGTTAATTTTACAGCAGGTAATGCCAATTATAGGGGAGTGTCCCCGGTTTTAGACCATCCTCCTCTGCATCTCCCTCATATCAGAGAACATGGGCATTAAGGCATCTTCTACAGCAACATGAGCATTGATTGCTTCCAGACCAGAGGTGGGCAATAATTTTGGAAGGGGGACTACTTCACAAATTGTAGAAGTGGCCGTGGGCCAACCCGGAAAGGGCAGGATTGAGAACTGCCCTGCTGGGTATGGGTATGGGTATGACCTAATTTTCTGAACCAGCTGCAGCTAGTGAGAATGGTTTAGTTTAGATTATGAAACAGATTAAGTGTTTTAACTTTCTCATGTTAGTTTATCAAACTTCATTTTAAATCAAGTAAAACGTTATGTCCAACACAAAAGGTTTCAATGTTTTCTTTATTTATGGATGGGGTAGAGAACCCTTTTTGGGTTGAGGGTCACTGACCCACAAAAAAAAAAATCAATTGGGGACCACACAAGTGAGAAGCAAAAAAACTCCCAACCCCCTCAGTGCTCACTGATGTGGCCCCAACTGAGACATCTCACTCCTCTGATGCCCCAGCCCATGGGGAGAGGGGAAGGGAAGGATGGGGGGATGGAGGTTTAGGGCTTCCCATAGAACAGATTTACTTTTCTGGGGTTCTGGAGTTAGTGGAGTTTATGGCCCTCCTTAGGCTCTAGGGTAGGGACAAAAATGAAGGTTACAGTGTGTGAGAAGGCTGCCAGCAAGTAGGATAGGAATGGGGTGGAGGATCTGGGAGGGAGCTGGGATGAAGAAGCAGGCTGGGAGTAGGGTGTCTGGCCAGGTGGAGGGAGCAGGAACAAGGGAGGGTGCAGTGTGTGGCTAGAAGAGAGGGTGCAAGAACAAGGGAGGGTGTGGGAGCAAGCTAGGGGTGCTGGGTCTTAGAGGAGGGAAACGAGGGAATTGGAATGGGAGTGGGGGGTCTGAGCATGAGGGGGAACCTTACCTGGCTTCTTGCTCCCATACAGCAACGGCTGCAGTTACGCTGTCCCGGCTGCCCTGGAGGGAGGTCCTGCTGCTGTGGTGTCGAGAGGGTGCAAGAACAAGGGAGGGTGTGGGAGCAAGCTAGGGGTGCTGGGTCTTAGAGGAGGGAAACGAGGGAATTGGAATGGGAGTGGGGGGTCTGAGCATGAGGGGGAACCTTACCTGGCTTCTTGCTCCCATACAGCAACGGCTGCAGTTACGCTGTCCCGGCTGCCCTGGAGGGAGGTCCTGCTGCTGTGGTGTCTAC